AAAAGTAAAAGGAATTAATCAGTATGTTAATGAACCAACAATAATGACAGTTGATTCAATATACTTAGAAGATTTAATTAAATATCAAGAAATTGAATATGAAATAAAAGAAGGAATCTATTGGGAAGGGGGAAAAGTTAGTTTATTCAAAGAAAAGATAAAGGAAATATATAATATAAGAAAACAAAAGAAAGTAGAACATGATCCAAGTGAAGTAATATTTAAATTAATAATGAATTCCTGTTATGGTAAAACAATACAAAAACCTATAATGGTAGAGAAAAAAATCTTTAGAACAAGAACAAAAATGCTCTCCTATTGGAGAAGAAATTTAGAAGATATTTTATCAGGAGAACAATTGTTTGAATCAGATATTTGGGTACTTCAAACAAAGAAACAGTTGGATGAATTTTATGTACCTAATATTATTGGTGTATTGATCCTTTCTATGTCTAAAAGGATTATGAATGAATTAATTTACTTATGTGAAGATAATAACATAAATGTTTATTATCAGGATACTGATAGTATACATATTGAAAAAGATAAATTAGTTCAATTGAGAGAATCCTATTATATCAAATATAATAGAGAATTGGTGGGAAATGACATAGGTCAATTCCATTCTGACTTCCCACCAGTGAATGGAAAAGAAAGTTGGGCAATTAAGTCTATCTTTCTAGGTAAGAAGTCTTACCTTGATGTCCTCACCAATGAAGATGGGGACATTGATTATTTGATAAGAATGAAAGGAATCCCCAAGGATGTAATCATTGGCACAGCCAATGAGAAGTTCAAAGGGGATGTGATTGCCTTATATGAATATTTATATGCAGGCAATCCTATTACCTTTGACTTATCAAAGTATGGTCCTCACTTTGTTATAGAAAGGGACTTTAAGGTAAAGACTCTTGAAGAGTTTAAAAGAACAATTAAATTCTAATGACCTCTCAATTATTAATTGATTCTTCTTTTTCTTTATTTTGTTAATTTTTGTTGTTCAAAAGGAGATAATGATGATAAATTATAATGATTTGTATTATCTTTATTTAAAATAACATCATTATAAAGTGTTTTTCCATAATCTTTAATAACATCTTTTATTTTCTTTCCTTCACTTATTTCTGTAAGTGTTTTTCCATTTGTTTCATACCATTTAGGGAGTCTATCAAGTACCATTTCAATCATTTGTCCACCAGGTATTATTGATGTTATTGTTTTTGATATTGGTAGTATTTTAGATACTACTGTACTTGTTGTTTTATATAATTTACCTCCTATTCCTGCTATTTTCTTTCCAACACTTTTAAGTCCATTCTTTAGTTTCTTTAAGAACCCAAATCTCATAATAACCAAATGATATTAATTAGTTATTTATAGATAATCATCTACTTCATCTTCTTCATCTATTTCATCTATTATATTATCATTCACTTCTTCATTATTAAGTCTATTAGCAAATAATAATGGTTTTCTTTTTCTTTTTATTGATTTTCTTTCAGGTATTTGATTGATAATATTACTTGCTGTTTTAGTAATATCATTTGGTATTTCATTTTTAATTTCATTTAAATATCTTTTAGTTGTACCAATAACATTTTCACCTGATGCTATTCTATTCAATGCTTCACTTGTAGGTTCTGCTAATTTATTCATTATTTCTGTTCCTTTTTTAATAATATTTCCACCTGGAATAAAATCAACAGCAGTATCTATTAATGGTTTTGCTTTTTCTATCATATTTCCACCTAATTTAGCACCAACTGCTAATGCAGCTGCTAATTTCTTTAATCCTTCTTTGAATCTTTTCCAATTACCAAACTTCATAAATGAAATAAAAGATTGAACTAATAAA